TATAAGACTTTCGACTTCCTCTGGAGAAAAACAGGACCAAATGGACGAATTTTGGAGTAATTCCAGTTGGAGGACGTTCGTTAGTCACTTAGCGTGATCTTATTAAAATTTGAGATTTTTCCACCAAGCGGTTATTTTCTGGCTATAAAATAAAGAAGCAGTGCGCAGTGCTGGAAAATGACGTTTTTGGGCTTAAATTGCATTTTTGGAGCCCAAGATGACATCGGATGGGTTCGTGGCCTTCTGGAAAAGTGTTCAGAATATTCCAAACATTAAATCCAGCTATATTGGGCCAGTTTTGGAGCAGCTTATGCGTCAAAAAGTGGCTGTTCAGATTTTAGACGAATTTTATCATTTAATTTAGGGTTATGTTTCCTAAGTTTTTGTGGGGATTGGAATTAATTTTAGTTTCCTAGGGTTTGTGTGGGAGGCTTGGCAGATATATGGCTTGGCCGTCTACCATATTTCCTTACGCTTTCTTTGATGCAATTTTGGAGACAGAGAATTGTTAGGGTTTTGAAGACTTTTTACTTGAAGGTGCTTTCAATCATTTTCTTGAATATATTTTCTATGATTTCAATTATGAATATGCGGAACTAATTTCTATTGCTAGGGCGAAGCCTTGAGCCTTAGCATGAATATGTGATTTTTATTCAATTACTTATGATTGATTGCATGCATACTTTGAATTGTTAATCACCGGGATATAAACTATCTAATTGTCTTAATGCCTGATCACCATTAGGATCTTTAGAAAAGTAATTTGATGCAATTTTGGTCGGAAGGTTCCCTGAAATTGACGCTGGCTTCTTGTGATTAATAATTGTAATTTCACTTAGGATGAATATCACGTCTTGATGATTGCATGGTTTTTCAAAGGATTTTCATAAAGCATAATGAGTCTTTCATGTTCAGATTTGATCCGAACGTCCGGATGGGTTGCATGTTAGATATACGTTCTATGTTGGAGGTTCCAAGTAAAATATGAATTAGGAAAATCTAACCTTCAAAGTGGCATGTGTAGATCATAAGTAATCGGTAAAAATTCATAGGATTGCTAGGTGATGGTGGAACCCTAGTGCTTTCTTAATTTTATTCTCCCAAAACTGTTTTCTTTTCTCTCTAGCTCTAATATTGCAGATTGTTTATTTTAAGTCATTAATTTCGTTTTATTTTAATTAGGTTATAAAAGCAATCACCTCAATTTCTACTCTACAATAATTAAATGAAATCTGATTAGTTTCAAATTATTTAATAATTCATGTGGAGACGACCTTGCGAGATTCGTTTATACTACAATAACCTTGTGATTCTTGCAAGTAAAATAGGAGATTTAAGCCCGTTCACATGAGTAGTAAAAATCCTATCAAGAAAATGGCGCCGTTGCCGGGGAAAAATCCCAAATTTTGATACGATCACGCTAAGTGACTAACGAACGTCCTCCAACTGGAATTACTCCAAAATTCGTCCATTTGGTCCTGTTTTGCTCCAGAGGAAGTTGAAATTCCTATATTGAAAATACAATTCAAAGTATTAAAATTCTTCCAATATATTAACCAAAATATACTAAGATTAGGGTAAAATATACTAAGACTCTAGAATTAAATCGGAAGAAAATTGAAGTCCAGGAGGTAGGAATAGATCTCATTAAGAGACTGAGGACAAAAACCGGAGGATGGTTCAGAGTCACTGGCAGACCCCCACAAAGGAGGGACCCTCACGGAGGAGGGAATGGCTCTCACGGAGGAGAGAAAAGGCTAGAGAGACGAAGTATTAACTTTTAGAAATTATGGCTTTAATTTGTAATATATATCATAAGTTCAATGTACAATGGTTCAGGTATATATGAGGAAGGAGTGGAGAAAGAAAGAAAGAAGAAAGAAAGAAGGGTGAGATGGCTGCTGCAAGCAGCCGACAAAGACAAAGAAAAAGCAAAGCTAACTAGCCTAGTCTAAGCCTTACAACAACTTTCATCAATCAATCATCTCCCTTAAATCAAGGAAAAGAAAGTAGCCTAGTCTAAGCCTTACAACAACTTTCACCAATCAATCATCTCCCTTAATTAAATCAAAGAAAAGACTAACCCTAGAGAACATGGTAGCTAACTCTAGAGGCCGAAATATACTCAACACTTTCAACAATAATCCATTGCAGCATAAGGCATGGCTGCACAATCACAGCTCAGACTGAGTTCGTTCTGTGCACACAATGTACGGCTTAAGCAATGCTGTCAAAATCTATACGTGCACACAATGTACGGTACATGACCCGAGCTGGCGGTGGTCATATCCTTTTTGCAGGCTAGAAACGTTTCCGTGAATATCGTCCTGGTCTTAGATGACACAGAAGAAGAGTCTGTAGAGGCACCAAAGCGAACTTTGTGCATCTAAAAATACATAGCAGGATCAAAATTATGATGAATTTTTGTGTTGCAAATAAAATTTGGTCAATTATGCTGTGTGAATTTTCTCGCTTTCGGTGAATAAGTACTCAAAAGTACACAAGATTGAGTACTTGAAAGATCAAAACGAAAAATTTGCTCCATAGAGGAAAATGCTTTAGGTTCCAAAGGGGTTTTTTAAAAATTTATGCTTGCTTATGTATTATGGTTGAATCAAAACCTTGGTTTAAAGATGAGATATATAATTAGCGCATACTGGAAAGGCCTTTTTGGACTCGACTCTTTTCATTCAATTTGGCCAATGTTATGGTTGTTGTTTTAGGAATTTATCTGCGTTGATATTGAACTTATTAAATTGGACGACGAAATAACATATTGTCTCTTAAGGGTGAGGCTCTATAAAATTAGTTTGAATTCAGTTCCAATAATATCCAGTCTGAGCCACTACGAAAATGAGTTTGAAAAGGAAGAAATTTGTATGTTTTTCTTCTAATGAAGGTTTTTCCCCTAACAAAAACAATTTAAGACAACCCCTTAAACAAATGGGGAGAAAACCAACGGTTAGGTGGATGCAACAACTTAGAGTTCGTTTGGATGTGCTTTTAAAATAATTGAAAGCGTTTTTAGTAAAAATATTTTTAGAACCAATATTTAGTAAAGATACAAGTAAATCTTAGAGAAAAGCACTTAAAATGTTTCCTGGAAGCAGCACATAACTGGTGTTTCTTGCAGAAAGCACTTAAAGTGATTTTGGAGCCCAACAATATTTTTCTCTAAAAGCGCTTTCAGTCATTTTAAAAGTATATTCAAATGTGCCCTTAGACTTCATTTGTAAGCACAATCTGCAATTAATTTTGAAATCTTCCTCAATTGGAATTTCGTTAAAACCATGAACCATTCATCTTCTTCATACTAGTAGTCATTAGATTATCTGAGTTATGAACAAAATCTGTAAATATCGAATCCGATTTACTTGCCTAATAATTCAATGGTAGGTTTAGAAAATGAGACCAATTAAAAGGTGTACTCTAGTTCTTGATTTAACCAAGATATTAAGAGTTCTCATAAGTGAAATATTAAAAAAATTCGGAAAATGGAGAGGAAGAGTGTTCAAGCAAGCTTTTTTATGGATATGATAATCCTGATAGTTACTGGATATAAAACTAGCGCAGTTAGTACTTGTTACATAAATTGCCTAAGCCCTTGCCCATTGCTACCTCAACTATGTGTTACACTATGCTTGGGGCAGTGCCCTCCGCAGCTTCAAAATGTTGATGTCAATGATCAAGCAATTCACCACTGCAAACTTGGTTGTTCAGTTCACCAATGTGTCGAGTTTGCCGTCGGTATATACCATTTCCTTTCTCGATCTGTATCGTTATTTGATCCTCTCATTTCTCTTATTATCTCACATATATAAACATTAAGCGCTAATCAATTAGTAAGTGAATACAACGCTAACTATACTTGAGTTTTATCGCCTCAGATGAAGAGAAAGTGTAAAGGTGCATACAACACTGCTCGAACAATTGCAACTTCAAGCATCCGAGCCCCCCTCTTCCTTGATTGTTCCAACAAATGCGGCAACATCAAAGCTCCTTGCGCCCCCCCCCCCCGCCCCGGGGGGTAAAGAATAACATGTTTGTAACTGAAATAAGCTTATGATTCAATAAAAGTGGAGTTTTAGTGTGGAATATTTCAAGGGATTGATCATCTAAAGAGGAGAGAGTTAACCAACATTATCTCTCTATCCATGCGTAGACATTGGTAACTGCTTCTCAAAAATTATATTTGATCAGCTCCGATTATGATGTATGAAGTTCAAGACCCGAGCTGGCGCTAATCACATATATCCTTTTTGCAAGCTCGAAACGCTTACATGAACATCATGGCCCGTCAAAATGTAGATATTTTTGTAGAAAATTTATTTACTAAAGTGGAGTGTGATGCACTAATACATGGTATGATATGAGAGATTTTTTCAAGTATCTAGCATCAAGCAATACTTGAACTTCACATATTGTAGTACAATTGGAGGAAATAATATATATTTTTCTGTACCTCTACTTATTTTATAACGCATAAAGTAGAGTATTCGCTTGAATACCGAACAGTTGAAAAAAGTTTCTCCAAAAACAAAACCAAATTTCTTTTGCCCAAATAGGTTTCGCAAGGGGAGTTTCGTGCAATCATTTTTTGTTTTTCTAAAAACAAAAAAATTGAGAAAATGTTGGGACTTTAAATATAGAGTGGTGCTATTTATACATCATTTTACACATTTTTTATTAATTTTTGTCATTTAATCATCTTCAATCTATTAGATTTGACAGCGAGCGATGTGTGTGATGGTTAACAAGGGTGTGTAAATTTTCATATCAAATTTTATAAACCAAATAATATAATTATTGATAATGTAATTATTATTTAAATATTAATTAACATAATTATTTCTTATTCATTTGATTTAAAATTTTAATCGTCGTAGCATTTGCCGTAGATTTAATTTAATATATAAAAGCCATGGTCAATGGTGCAAGCACCGACAAATTAGATGTAACGTGCCTGCCACTATTGGCCAGCTGTCCGATTGCACAAAATCTCACACAATACCGGCTACAGTGTATCCCATCCCACGGCTGCTACTTCTTCTTCGCCCCAAAGTCCGACACCAGTCACTGGAAGAAACACTTCTACGACCCGACCCACACATCGATCCAAATAGACCCAGATCAGAATACCATTTCCTCGAAGCGAACGCTGATCCGGGTCTCCGCAGTACCCAGATGAAGTTTTTCAGAAGATGAAGAGGTTCAAGCAAAACCTTGATGCTGATGATTTGTCGAAGCATTTGGATTTGGATACCCGTAGTGCTCTGAGGGACCCGGATAGGAAATCTGCGTCGGGTTCGATGAAGGTGATGGGGATCTTTGTGGCTGCCTTGATTCTGTTTTCGGTTTTGTTCTCGGTGAATGTGGTTCTCAGAGACCCGCCTTCGGATGCTGTTTTCGAAACTTCAAAAGCTGCAGTTCTTGAAGTGGAACCCAGAAAAGGTAACAGATTTAAGCTCAAATTTTAATATTATGTAGTGGGTTTTGGTTAACTTTGGCTTATGGGTTTTACTTTCACTGTGATTTTTGCACCAAGTTTTTGTCTTTGTTTTGACTGGATTTGAGATTTTGTTTGTTGGGTCGTATGCTGAAAGAAGAGCTATCAGATTGACATTTCTGAAGCTTTTTGGTTCAGCTGCATTGCAGTTCTCGTTTGGAAATGCTTCTTTCAAAAGCGCTTTTATAATCTATTAGAAACACATGAAAACTTTTCATAACAATGCATGCGCTTCCTGAATCTTGAAAAAGAACTTTGAACTTTTCCTGCCGAACATGGTCAAAAGCGATTTTGGTGATCAGAAAGCGAATTCGGTTATTTTAAAAGAACTTACAAACAGACCCATATATTCTGGTAGTTTGGGGAGCAAGGTGAACTTGGAACTACTTGATCTGATATGCTGAACAATTTTACTAGTTCGGGTTGGGCTAAAGTTTTGTCCTTTTTCAACTGCTTGGCATTTTGTTGTCCTAGTGCCTCCAGCTTGGATCAAGTCCTGCACTTCATCAGCTTCATTGGCTGGTTTTCTCTAGTCTCTTGTTTATGAAGTCTCGTGTTGTTTTATTTTTTGTTTTCGGGTCATTAGATTAGTGTTCTCGTGGCTGATTTGCTGTATTCAGATCTTTGAATTATCCAAGTTGGTGAAAGCCAACTTAGCTCGCTTGATTACTTACCAACTGCTATTTTCCATTTTCAACTAGGTTGTTTAGTTGTCTGTTTGTTCCGATTTCCGACTACTTTGTTTATAACCAAATTTCCTATATATGTGTGTTATCACACTTCTTTGTTTTTGATCTCGTGGTTCAATTATTTTCTTTTGCTTTCAAGTATCCTATTCATGTAAAGATCCTGGTCTGACTGCTTTGTGAGTTATATGCAACCATGATGGTGATAAAGCTCTCCGTATGTTATTTGAATATTCATAGGTTCTAAGAATTGTATCGTTCTTTTTTCCTTTTGCCATCCGTAGGTTTAGAAGATCAGTTTTCTCAGTCTGTTAAGGTGCCAGAGGATAAATTGCTTGGCGGCCTTCTCGCTGATGGATTTGATGAAGGATATTGTGTCAGCAGGTACCAGTCAGCTTCATATCGTAAAGAACTGCCTTACAGACCTTCTTCTTACCTTATATCCAAGTTACGAAGCTATGAAGCTCTGCATAAACGTTGTGGACCTTACACCAAAGCCTATAACAAAACCCTGGAACAACTCAAGTCTGGCCATGGCACAAGCTCCTTGGATTGTAACTATGTGGTATGGATTTCCTTTAGTGGATTAGGGAATAGGATACTGACCCTAGCTTCAGTGTTTCTTTACGCTCTCCTGACAAACCGGGTTCTACTAGTGGACCCTGGAGTTGACATGGTTGACCTCTTCTGTGAACCATTTCCAGAAGTCTCATGGTTTCTTCCCACGGATTTCCCCCTTAAGGACCAGTTCAACAGCTTGGATCAGAAATCTCCTCACTGTTATGGGAAGATGCTGAAGACTAGTAACTTTACAAATTCAGATGATTCGGTGAGGCCATCTTTTGTGTATCTCCATCTAGCTCATGATTACGATGATCAAGATAAGCTTTTCTTCTGCAATCAAGATCAGGCTTTCCTTGAAAGGATACCGTGGTTGATCATGAAAACAGATAACTATTTTGTCCCGTCTCTTTTCTTGATCCCATCTTTCGAGCAGGAACTACATAAACTCTTCCCAAGGAAGGAAACAGCCTTCCATTTTTTGGGTCGATACCTGTTCCACCCCACAAATGTCGTATGGGGATTGATTACTAGATACTATCAAGCTTATTTAGCAAAAGCAGATGAAAGAATAGGCATCCAGATCAGAGTCTTTGATACTGGGATTGGCCCCTTTGAACACGTGTTTGATCAGATCCTATCCTGTGCATTGAAGGAGAAGCTGCTACCTGAACTCAACCGGCAGGATTTCATCGTCAGTCCATCGGGAAACCCAAAGTCTAAAGCTGTGATGATGACATCTTTAAGCTCTGGTTACTCTGAGAAGCTAAGAGACATGTACTGGGAGCATCCTACTGTGACAGGGGAGGTGGTTGGCATTTTCCAGCCGAGTCACGAGGAGTATCAACAAACTGAGAAGCATACGCACAACCGCAAGGCATGGGCCGAAATGTATCTACTAAGCTTGACAGATGTGTTGGTCACAAGCTCATGGTCAACATTTGGGTATGTCGCGCAGAGTCTTGGGGGGCTGACACCGTGGATACTCTACAAACCGGAGAACAGTACAGCACCCAATCCTCCTTGTCGACGAGCAATGTCAATGGAGCCTTGCTTCCACGCACCTCCCTTCTACGATTGCAAGGCCAAGACAGGAATCGACACAGGTGCATTGGTTCCTCATGTGAGGCATTGTGAGGATATGAGCTGGGGTCTTAAGCTGGTCGATCGTTACGATGAGTTCTAGGTTTGTAGCTTGTGATATATGACCGTTGTTGTAACTGTTTGATCATGAATAACATTGAATTTTTCATATACACGAACGTTATTCCATGTTAGCAAAAATAAAAAATCGTTGAGTTTGATGGAAGAGTGAAAGATGCTCGACTCTCATGGATGATGAGTTCAATATCTAATATAGCGGTCATGGGTTAACCAGGCAAATACGTAAAGCAATAGCCTATTAAAAGATAAGTAATTGCATGCTTTAGTTGAAATATACACAGAAATTTGGATTCTGCTTTACAAAAGCAAACTTTTTTCTCGGACATGTTCATGCCTTCAACGAATGTGTTCGCACCTGGTCTCTGCAACATCAGCAGGTATTTGGTTTCTACTTCAAAACCTTCAGAAAGCTAGCAGCATCTCCACTACTCGGAATCGGAACCTGACAGTAGCATTTCATAAGAATCTCTTGGTTCCATATCGGTGATGGAAGGGGGTAGGTCTTCATTAAGCACGTTTCTAGCCCGGTCTCTCCTTCGTCTACTTTCGTCCTGTAAGACGAAGATTAGACATGTCATCTCAAGACCGGGGAGAAAAAGATGAAAAACATGAGTGAAGTTGGTCTTTTACTTTCTTGCACTTAATGTTCACCGTGGAATTTGGCTGATTTGGTTGACTTGACACTGGAGTTGCTTGACTCCTCTGAAGCCAGATGGTACGGAAAGACATCAATGCTGCTAGAAGCAACATTTGACCAACCCTTGGATCTCCAATGCAATCATAGATTCCGTGTAAAATTCCACGGATGCTCTGCATGATCGTGTTTGTTGAAGGAATTCTTTGGACACCTGCTAACCACATTGGCTCTGAATCCTCGGGAACCAAATGAGGAGTTCTTGTTCTCTGCAATGGAAATGTAAAGTAAAGCTCTTGACAAAAGAGTAGTTTATGAAACTGCTCGTATGAGACGGCCAAGTACATTTACATAATGAGGAAGATCTCTGGCGTCACCATCGTAGATTGTTTCTGAGATCCATTTAATAATCTGCATAAGAAAGGTGAAAACGAAGCCACCAACTTAGAGAAAATTTGTATTATGTGACGTCTGAGGCATCGATTGCAAGTATTATGTGAAATCAAGAATCCAAACATATAGTTAGATACCTTCCAAGTATTATCTGAACCATTGTACTTTGCCACAAGCCGTGATGCAGGATCTAGTTCCTGGTCTTGCAGTCCATCCCATATGGTTTTCGGCTTTTTCTCGGGCTCCTCACTCTCTTCTGTCACATTCCTCTTATAGCGTACAATAAATAACTGAGGAACATCAATCATATCTGTCCTTTCACCACAAGTTTCATGGATGTTTTCAGATTGAAGGAAGAAGAGGCAATATTTCTGAACAAAAATTAAATCATTAGTCAGACATAAGTTTCAAGACCGCGCTTAATGAACTAACAGTTAAAAACGTGAACAACACACAGAGGTTCACCTTCTGGGCTTCTCCGTCAAGCCAAGCAAATGTCAGTCGTTTGCTTTTACTCGCACCTGCTGCTGGTGCTATAGATTGCTCTTCATCAGCTGACCTTGTCTCGACTTCATTTGACAACTTCTCTTCAACCCTGCAAATGGTCTGTCAAACTTATGTCATTCGCACCAATTGCTAAGTTTAGAAAATTATGAATGTTAGATTGCATAGAAAACTCATTAGCTAATTAACATCATCACCCAAGTTACTTCTATGACATAACTTCTTGATCTACATCTGACAACTGAACCAACTCTAAATACTCGATGCGAACCAAAAATTAGAGCAATATTGTGGAATAAAATGATATGAAAGACACTTACTCCACGCATATTACTGAGTTCTGGGCTATGCCTCCCTGCTACAACAGCACAGTACCAAGTAACGGTATCATATCCAGCACGAGAATAGCCTCGAGAGTCACAACCCAATTCCATGGATGTTGTACTCCTCAACTGAGGTAGCTCTGAAACAACATGTGAGAAATAAATGGGAGTTAATTAGTCTTACTGCAGATTACTACAAAAAGTTCAAAAGTACTATTCACTACCGTACCTTGTTGTTTAAGGTCAACTGCCAACCTATCTAAGCTTTGTAATGCGCTCTTTCATATTAGATGAAGAATGGCGCGAGAAGACAACAGTACCTTGTTGTCTATTTTGCTCCATAATATATAAGAAACGTAAGTAGTTAACAGATCCTGCAAGTCAAAACATACAGCTTTGGTTATCACACAAGGCACACAAGTTTATCTAATCGTTATAGAGGGTTAAGATAGTAATGTGCCGTGGTACACAACAGGTTTGACACCAGGATCTTTCAAATCACTATAGCAGGTGCAGATTCCTCCTCAAACCTGTTGGAAAGCACAAAAGTTCCTATGAAATCAAAGATGCATAATTTTCGGTACCCAATTTATAGTAATAGTTCAAGTTTGAACTCACAATAGTAGTGTTTGTGTTATTTTAGACTCAATTCACATACTATTTTGAAAATCTGGAAATCTGTACTCTTTCAAGAAGATTAATGTTAGGATAGCCACTCAAGAATTAAACCAAAAGGACGATTCCTCTTCTTACCATAGCACGAATGCAAAAGAAGCATGACTCCAATAATTTTTAGCAGTTTGGTGTCCGAATGGAGCAGCACGCACCCCTGTTTTTGAAAAGAAAATGACTTTTACCTGTGAACCAGAAGAACAAAACCACTATCCAAGCGACAGGTCGAAAGTATTAACAATAGATAGCAGCATGTTGCGAAGGCATCTATTTATACGTTGATCAATTAAAATGCAATAGAAAAATATTGAATCTGCAAGTACCTTGTGAAGACTAACTTTTGCTAGAAAATTTTGCCCCTGAAAATTGAAGTATGCATTCATATCATTTTTGGGTATGTTAAAAGGTGACAGAAAATAAAGAGCAGAAAAGCGAAAAAAGGAAAGGTGAATTAATAACACGCGTAAATCAGCTAAGCAAAAATAAAATCAGATGAGAAATCAGATTGGAATCATTGGATAACCTTATACTGCATCAACCTTGAGTTATCTTTAGAACAAAGTTGTATTTAATCTAAAGTTAGAGAGGAGAAGGAAAGAAAGTTTCTCATAGAATTACCAGTGTCTCCTTTGAGTAGTAAAGAATACGAGGCAAACCAAGTACGGTTGTCACAAACCAATCTATGACTGAATCAACTGAGGAGCTCTCCTTCATACCTGAGACGAAAGATCAAACCGAGATGCCATTCCATAACTAATGAAAGAAACATGACATGTAGGATCTTATCAACCAAGAAGGAAATGACAAAAATAAGACTTCTCCTTATATATATCTGTAGCAGGGTATCTAAAATCTTCTGCAATGGGAAATAAAAAATCAATCTTTACAGTATTGTGCATGGCTGCATGTAGAAATAATCTTAGAGCTTGCTGAAAACCTCACCTAATAAAACAATTGACACTTTTACACCCCAGAGGAAAAGCAACAATAGAAGGAAGGCCTGTAAGAGACCGATATGCAGTTAGAAACATGAAACAAAAGAAAATGGAAAGACTTCATCAAGAGAGAGTTTCCGCCGAAAGGATTCATAGTCAAATTTACGATTGCTTAGTATTTCTGCAGCCCCATAATCCTGGCACCAGTTGGCACAACAGATACAATACCCAGGAATATCCCTCGAGTTTCAAGATCTTATTTCTAAAACCTACCACGCCCCTAATTTCATCTATCGCCAACCATTTGTTTATCAAAATATGCATATTTTCGAGCAGTTTCAGTTAAAATTCACAAATTCCAAGACCTGCAATTAAGAACAGAAACTTTGGCAAATAACAGCATGCAATATTGATCATTTATCAAACCACTTACCATTCCTGAAGAAAGGTTGCCCAGTTGGTTTTCTCTCAGCAAAATGTGTAGCTAGCTGAAGCTCTCCAAGTTCCAACATACCAGTATTTGCCACACCATCCAAATAAGCAGCTAGAGGGTAACAAAACAAAAAGATCATATTCTCAAACAAAAATTATCATACATAAAAATAATATTTGAGTCAAATATTGGAATCTAAAGAGGGAAACAAAGAAAAGAAGGGAAAAAATGGGTTGTAAACAGAATGGTTAAAGAACTTAAGTAGACAAAACGAACTAATCGATTGATAAAAGGTCTCCACTCTGTTGAGTGCATGGATTGGCCACTAAACATGTATTCACCTTTCAAGAAACCATTTCAAATACAGGTAAAGAATCTTAAACCAGGTTCTCCATTCTTCCACACATCGGAAAATTGACTGCAGCTTTTGCTCCCAAATGAGCACAACTAGTCCAAAATCCAACAAGCATGGAGTCAGTATACTTTTAAAAGGAAAAGCAAGAAGTTTTATTGATGACAAAATATGACAAGAAAATATAAGGCTATCTATGACAGAACATGTATGCACATTCTAGTTATGTGTTGACTAGATCTTTATATCAGAATACGTTAGTCTGTTGTGTTACGCATATCCCTCTTTAATTTAAAGTGAAAATCTAATGGAAGGGGATGGAAACCAAGGAGAAGATATAAGCATATGCCGGATATAATTGTCATGACATGCAAGGCGTTGTTAATAACATGGCTTTACCTGAATCAGCCATGGTTTGTTACCCTCGAACATAGTCTGAAAATCGTTGGAGGTCATGACTGTACCATCATGATCTTCAGTTTCTAATAAAAAGAAAATATTATCCCTTAATAAATGTTATAAGAACAAAAATAAAATAAAATTATGTAACTGAAATTTTAACATGATTAAGAGGTTCAGTTCCAACCAGAAGCAACAGACTCTAGCAAGGAAGGTCTGTCTTCGAAAAGCCTTCTCCTTTATATCGCTCTGTGACCTTCTCAACTATATCCTAAGGTCAGAAAAGGGAAATTAATAAGACATCAGAGCACGTGGCAGAGGTTAGCGAAAACAGAACATGGATGGAACTGCAAGCTAGACACGTAAGACATTGGTAAGGCTTGGAATGGGAGTAAGAACTCACTATTTGCTCATCGATGCCAAATATGTCATAGTTTCTTTTCCACACAGGATTTGTCAGCAACTCATAAGCATACTCAATCTGCACTTACATCCCAATG